CCCCAAAACCCCAAAACCCCAAAACCCCAGAAAGAAATATTCACTGCTATTATTTAGGTTTTGAATCAAGATAAAATATTTGCGTGAATAACTTAATTAATATTAAATGCATAATATACTATTGTTCTCTGCATCATATTTTCATATTCAGTGTTAGATACTCAAAACTGGACTTATTTTCTAATTTTTTGAAAAATCGAAATGAGCGCAGTGCGGAGCATCATACTTATAAGTTAAGTAGACTATCCATACTTCACTGCTTCTTTTTACTGTAAAAACTAATTTCCTGTAGAAAAAGTTCCCTTAGTGTCTTTCTGTCCAGTTCAATCTTTTCAAATTCCAGGACTACAGTAGAGGCTGCAATATTTTCTTTTTCTTGCTTTCTAACCTTTTAAAAGAAGGGATGCTTAAAGCAATCCTCAAGAGTTATTCTAAAATATGGGTTGAAAACTAGAGATTTCTATAAGAAATCAATGGCATCAGCAGTTGCACCAGGATACATAGATTAAAGATCAGCTTTAGGTCTGTTTGGGAAAGAATCTAAATACTCAATAGCTTTTTAATCTGTGACAAAACTTCGATCAGACTCGCTTGGTACTCCAATAACTTCAAAAATCACAGCTAATTGATCAGTTGAAGAATGAGGGAAACCCTTTCGCTGTTCTTATGGATTTTTATCTGGGGATAATGGGAAACAAGATTTACCCGGGAATAATGGTTTACGATCCATGAAGGTTGGGGCGTTTTCCTTCATCATGTTTAGTAACTCAGCGAATATGCAGCCTATTGACCACATATCGATGGCTGGACCATAATCTTTTTCTAGTAAAATAATTTCTGGAGCACGATACCATCTTGTAACCACATGTCCAGTTAATTCTCTTTTCATATTTCTGCGCTGATCTTTGGTTTTTACCAATCGTTATCTAAGGTCTTCCTTTTTCTTCTCCTCTTCAACTACAGGGGTGCTGTTGGTCACCTCGTCTTAATGATGTATCCTTGCAGGTTCGGATCCAGCGATATTCATTTCTTAGTCTTCGCTCGAGGATTTTATTTCATCACTGCTCTATTTCCTGATGATCAATGAAGCGCTTTCTACACCAGCAATAGATCTTGCAAGACCAAAGTCGCAAAGCTTAACTGTACAGTCTTCATTGACAAGGACATTTGCAGGTTTCAAATCCCTATGAATGACATTAGACTCGTGAAGATATTTGATAGCACACAGCAAATTGTAAATGATCGTTTATATATGAACCAACTGCAAATGAATACTTGATTTTATAACTTTCTTTAAATCACTTTCAGCATACTCCATCACAGTATAGAGCGTATTGAAGTTCTTTGGATCTGTGGGCGCCAGTATTTCTATGAGTTCAACAACAAAGGGGTGCTTTAATTTCCTGAGTAAAGTTATTTCTCTCAGAATTCTCTTGCAATCTATTTCATCTTCAAATATTGACTCCATTTTCTTTATTGCAACTTTTTTCCCTGTAGACTTTTAGGTTGCCATGCATACACTTCCATAACTGCCAGTTCCTAATAGCTTTTCGCATTCATAGTTTGAACCAACTTCCCAGTCTTAGAACTTATTCATATTCAATCCACTTCTTCTCTTTTACATAGTTTCTAAGTATATCCTTTAATGAGTTAATATCCTACTAATATTAATTACTTAATTTGTATGTGAATTGGCAATAATTAGATTTACTCGCAGTAATCTTTAATATATCAGCTAAAATGTTCTATTCTGATAATCGGGGTTTTGGGGTTTTGGGG